TCTCCATTTGCTTGGTAAATATTCCTCTGTCCCTTTATTTTGAGCCTATGTATGTCCTTGCCTGTGAGATGGGTTTCCTGGATACAGCACACTGATGGTTTTTGACTGTTCATTCAATTTGCCAGACTGTGTCTTTTGATTGGGGCATTTAGCCCATTTACATTTAAGGTTACCGTTGTTATGTGTGAATTTGATCCTGCCATTTTGATGCTAGCTGGTTGTTTTGCCCATCAGTTGACGTAGTTTCTTCATTGTGTCAATGATTTTTACCATTTGGTACGTTTTTGGAGTGGCTGGTACTTGTTGTTTCTTTCTACGTTTAGTGCTTCTCTCAGGAGCTCTTGTAAGGCAGGCCTGGTTGTGACAAAATCTCTCAGCAATTGCTTGTTCATAAAGGATTTTCTCTTTCACTTATGAAGCTTACTTTGGCTGGATATGAAATTCTAGGTTGAAAGTTCTTTTCTTGGCTGGGCGCGGTGGCTCAAGCCTGTAATCCCAGCACTTTGGGAGGCCGAGGCGGGTGGATCACGAGGTCAAGAGATCAAGACCATCCTGATCAACATGGTGAAACCCCGTCTCTACTAAAAATACAAAACATTAGCTGGGCATGGTGGCGCATGCCTGTAATCCCAGCTACTCAGGAGGCTGAGGCAGGAGAATTGCCTGAACCCAGGAGGCGGAGGTTGCGGTGAGCCGAGATCGCGCCATTGCACCCAAGCCTGGGTAACGAGGTCGAACCTCCGTCCAAAAAAAAAAAAAAAAAAAAAGAAAGTTCTTTTCTTTAAGGATGTTAAATATCGGCCCCCACTCTCTTCTGGCTTTTAGGGTTTCTGCCAAGAGATCCACTGTAAGTCTGATGGGCTACCCTTTGTAGGTAACCCAACCTTTCTCTCTGGCTGCCTGTAGCATTTTTTTTCCTTCATTTCAACCGTGGTGAATCTGATGATTATGTGCCTTGGGGTTGCTCTTCTTGAGGAATATCTTTGTCATGTTCTCTGTATTTCCTGGACTTGAATATTGGCCTGCCTTGCAAGGTTGGGGAAGTTCTTCTGGATGATATCCTGAAGAGTGTTTTCCAGCTTGGCTTCATTCTCTCCATCATATTCAGGTACACCTATCAAAAGTAGATTAGGTCTTTTCACATAATCCCATATTTCTTGGACACTTTGTTCATTTCTTTTCACTCTTTTTTCTCTAATCTTGCCTTCTCATTTTATTTCATTGAGTTGATCTTCAATCTCTGATATCTTTCTTCTGCTTGGTTGATTTGGCTGTTGAAACTTGTGTACGCTTCGCAAAGTTCTCGTGCTGTGTTTTTCAGCTCCATTAAGTCACTTATATTCTTCTCTAAGCTGTTTATTCTCGTTAGCATTTCATCAAACCTTTTTTCAAGGTTCTTAGTTTCTTTGCATTGGGTTAGCACATGTTCTTTTAGCTCAGAGAAGTTTGTTATTGCCCACCTTGTGAAGCCTGTTTCTTCAATTTGCCAGACTCATTCTCAATCCAGCTTTGTTCCTTTGCTGGTGATGAGTTGTGATCCCTTGAAGGAGGAGAGGCATTCTGATTTTGGGTGTTTTCATCCTTTTTGCACTGGTTTCTTCCCAACTTTGTAGATTTATCTATCTGTGGTCTTTGTAGCTGGTGACTTTCAGATGGGGTCTCTGAGTGGATGCCCTTTTTGTTGATGATGAAGTTACTTCTTTCTTTTAGTTTTCCTTCTAACAGTCAGGGCCCTCTGCTGTAGGACTGCTGAGGTCCACTCTGGACCCTGCTTGCCTGGGGATCACCTGCAGTAGCCACAGAACAGTAAGGTTTGCTGCCAGTTTCTTCTTCTTCATCTTCGTCCCAGGATACCCACCAGATATCAGCCTGAGCTCTCCTTTATTAGGTGACTCTTTGGATATACGGGGTTCAGGGAGATGCTTCAGGAGACAGTCTCTTCCTTGTAGGAGTTCAAGTGCTGAGCTGTGAGCTCCATTGCTCTGTTCAGAGCTGCTGGGCAGGTACGTTGCTGCAGCAGAACTCATAACCTCGTTTTTTCCCAGGTGTTCTGGGAAGGTGGGGCTTTATTTAATTCCGGATGTGCTGCTGCCTTTTTTCAGAGCTGCCTTGCCCAGCAAGGAGGTAGCCTAGTCAGAGGCGTTGCTGAGCTGCCGTGGGCTCTGCCCAGCTGCTGTGTGAACTTCCTTGTGGTTTTGTTCATACAGGTATAGTTATGGCAATGGCGGTCTGCCTCAGTAATGGTGGACTGCCTCTGTAATGGCGGACTGCCTCGGTAATGGCAGACGAACTTCTCCCAACAGAGCTGGACTGTCCCGGGTCCAGCTGCACTTGCTGCGAAACTTTCGATCCAGAGCGTTTGATTGCTGTTCTTCGTGGGGGTGGGACTCACCGAGCCCAGATCACCTGGCTCCCTGTTTTAATCCCCTTTTTTTCAGTAGAATGAGCAGCTCTGTCTCCCAGGAGTTCCAGGTGCCAGTTGAAACAGCTGCCCAGATTTCTGTGAGTTTTTGTGCGGAAACCTGGTGGGCCAGCTGAAACAGCCCTGCTGGAAACTTGTGGTGCTTTTCAGCCTGGGACTCTCCTGGTCTGTGGGCAGTAATAACTCTTTTGGAAATATGGTGTTCACTCACCCTCTGCGTTGTTCTTGCTGGGAACTGCACTGCAGAGCTGTTCCTATTCGGCCATCTTGGATCTGTTCCCCCGGAATTGCTTTTTAATGGCATATGCAGAGGGTGGTGGCACCAAAGTCGGGGGCACTACCCCAGCCCAGAGCTAACCACTTTTTTTTGAGATGGAGTCGCTCTTGTTGTCTAGGCTGGAGTGCAGTGGCACGAACTCGGCTCACTGCAACCTCCACCTCCTGGGTTCAACTGATTCTCCTGCCTCAGCATCCCATGGCGGGAGTAGCTGGGATTACAGGTGTGCACCACCATGCCCAGCTAATTTTTGTATTTTAATTAAGACGGGGGTTTTGCCACGTTGGCCAGGCTGGTCTCGAACTCCTGACCTCAGGTGATCCGCCTACCTTGGCCTCCCAAAATGCTGGGATTACAGTTGTGAGCCACTGCACTTGGCCAAAGCTAACTGCTTTATAACTCTAAAGATTTATTGCCAGATTGCTCAGTAGCTTGACTCCTGAGGAAGATTTTAATTGAATCATTTCAGTGAGTATACTTTTCATTTCTAGATGTTGTTTTGTTCCTTTTCAAATACACCTTTTTTTCTTTACAATTTTCTATTCTTTTTACTAGTGCTTCCTGTTATCTTTGCCTTCATTTGAAACCTACTTTTTTTCTTTTTAATTTTCTTTGAGATGGTTCTAGTATCTCAAGTTCCTCCTGTTTTGCCTATTCTCTCTCTTGATGGCATGTTTCTTTGGGTAGCTCGTACATTTTTTATTGTGAGGATTCTTGTTTTCATCCTCTTGGAGTCTCTGTGAGCCCTGGGTTGTAGAAATACAGCTATTGTGCAGTTTTACATTTGCTTCTGCTTGGTACCCTAGGGGTCTAAGTGGTTTGGCTGATCTATCTTTCCTTTACTTTCCTTGCTTGGAGGAATTGTTGGATCATTTAGAAACACTTTACTGAGCATGTGCTATATGCATAGTCCTACATTTGGCTGTGGAAGATACAAAACAATGCAAGACAACACTAAGTTGCTGCCTCACGTGGAACCACAGTCTGAAAGCGCCAAATAAGTATAGGCCCAAAGTTAGGTGACCATGTAAGGCAGAGTAAAGGCACAACGATGAACAGCCAAGTTCAGAAGGAAAAACAGACAACTGGAGAAAAATAGGGACAAAAAGCCTAGAGAAGGAAAAGGTTCCTATGAGGAACTTTCAGAAGGAAGGTGTGAGTAAATCATCCTCCCCTACCCCCCACCCCAAACTAAAACCTCTGGCCTCTTCTGGGTAGTGTGGCACTAGGAACCTGACTTTGAGGTCCTTATTGAGAAAGCTAAATCAGAATCTAGGCAAAAGGAAGTCATTTAAGGTGCTCCCGAAGGATAGTGGGAGATTTGATGAGAGTTGTGTTTGACGGAGAAAAAACAGCAAGTTGAAAGGGCTAGGAGGCTTTGCAAATGATTTCACTAGGACAAGTCTGGGTTAGGGAGGCCAAGGTGAGGGCTTTGAACGAGGAAAGTGCATAGAGTGTTCGTTATCAGGAGTGGTAAGAGGGGAAGTAGCTTTTTAAGGGGTAGGGCAGGAAGGGATTCAGAAAAGACAGACTGGGAAACCGATACTAGTAGTAAAAGTGACCAGAAGGCAGGTGTCTGTTCACAGAAATTTCTCACAATGAACTGGCAACAGGGTAAGTACAGGCAAAGGGACCAGGTCTTCCACTGCTGTGTCCCTGCACACTCTAGGATTCATTCAAACAGAAACGTTTTTTGTGAACCACCCCGTCCCCCCGCCCCCAACTAGCGGGATTCTGTTGTAGGTGTTATTGCAGGTAGGGTACAAATAGGAGCAGAGCACTTGCTGTCCTATCTTCCTCGCAGGGTTCTTGTGAGGATTACACTTGAATCAACACCTGCAAAGCACTTTAAAAAGTGCCCGTCACATAATTCCTGCAATTTCAGGTCTAGTTGTGATTATTCACTTTTATTAACTAAAAATCAACTACAGGCACTTGTCAGTGCCTGCGAGTGCTCACACTGAAGGACTCACTAAAACCCTCAGGATCTAGTGAGGGAGACACTCAAATACTTTTGAGCAAAACAAATTTTACCACCACGGGCTCTAAGGAAGGCGTGCGAAGGCTCCGCAGCTGGGGAGGGTGCCCACAGTCGCTGAGGGGACATCTGGATTTGCTCCGGTGGGGACGGCATTCCTGGCAGAGGGGGTAGGAAAGGGGTCGGACAAAGAGGCTGGGACCGCAGAGGGGCTCGGGCTCGGGGCTCCGGGCTCGTCCCGCAGCGGGACGTTCAGCTTGCGCAAAGTTCCACGCAGGCCGCAGCGACTCGGATCTGGGCCGCAAAGGGGCGGGCCGAGAACCGCGGAGAAAACTCCCGAAGCCGGGGAGAGGGCTTGGAAGCGTCTCAGACCATATTGGGGACGTCTGGTAGCCAGAGGCGCCGAACCCCGCCCCCGCGCGCTCTGGGGCTCCCGGGGGAGCGCCTCGGCCTGCGGCAGCTGCCACAACTTCGGAGCCCGCGGCCCCGACCGCCCGTCACCATTGACCCCCGGCCGGCAACCCACAGTCCTGCCAGGCCCGCAAAAGTCCCGGGGACCACAGCCAGCACGTCTCACCAGCCCCGCCAAGCTCCCGACCTCCCCCTCTGTCTGGAGTGGTGCGACCCGGCCCCGCCCCCTGACGCTAGCGAGGGGCGTGGCTTCCATCATGTGACGGGGAGTGACCTAGCCGCCGGGCGCCATGGGGGCTTCGGACCCGGAAGTGGCGCCCTGGGCTCGCGGCGGTGCCGCGGGGATGGCGGGAGCTGGAGCTGGAGCCGGAGCTCGCGGCGGGGCGGCGGCGGGGGTCGAGGCCCGAGCTCGCGATCCACCGCCTGCGCACCGCGCACATCCGCGCCACCCTCGGCCTGCGGCTCAGCCCTCGGCTCGCAGGATGGACGGCGGATCCGGCGGCCTGGGGTCTGGGGACAACGCCCCGACCACTGAGGCTCTTTTCGTGGCACTGGGCGCGGGCGTGACGGCGCTCAGCCATCCGCTGCTCTACGTGAAGCTGCTCATCCAGGTGGGAGACCAGAGGCGCCGTAGGGAGATGGGAGGCCGATGTGAAGATGACAGGCCAGGATTTGGAGGATTGGGGCGGGGAGTCAATGGCGACAGATTTGGGGAGAGGGGCGGGGACGGCGGGTTGGGGGTCGAAGTGGGTGGGAGGGGAGGGAAGCCGTGAGGGAGTTGGGAACGCAGGGGTCACGGGTTTTAGGATGCAGAAAGGAGAGGAAGGGGTTAGAGCAACAGATTTGGGAGAGGGTGCAAGGAACACGCGAGTTGGGGTATGCCAAGGAGAGGGCGATGGGCTGGAAAGATGTATTTGGGAGATAAAGGAGTGGGGATGATGGACTTGAGATAGGGAAGGGAACGAATTTGGGGTGAGGGAAGAAGCAGAATTGGGGGAGGGGCGAGAAGTTTGGGTGAAGAGATAGGGAGGAAGGTTGGGGGCCCAGGCAAAGTGTTCACAGAGTGAGGAGCACATATTTGGGGCAGAGGGGAACGGGGGCTCTGCATTTAATAGAGACAGATTTAAAGCGTCTCGGGGTGGGGACAAAGTGGGTGCCAGGGCCAGAAATTTAGGAGGTAAAGAAGGACATCACACTGGGGGTGGGCAGAGGGGACGGAGGTCTTGGGTTTCATGGTGATTTAATTTGGTGGGAGAGTGGAAAGGCAAAGAATTTAACAGGGAATGCTATCAGTTTACCGGAGATGGGGGCTCTGGATTTGATGGCTACGACAGATTTGGTAGGAGGAGGGGACAGGGTGACGCGTATGGGGGGAGGGGAACAGATAGGGGCGGCATTGGGGGAGGGGAGTGGCAGCGATTTGTCTAGAGAGGGGAGCTAGGAAGAGGCTTTTAGGGGGAAGGAGATGACGCATTTGGAGGAGAAAATGGAAATCATAGTTGGGATCAGAGATAGGAATCACAGTGCTTGTATCTGGGCGGATGAGGAGAAGGGGCATGCGAGTATTGAAATTGGGCAGAAGGGACAGTGGAGACATAGGTGGCAGGATAGGTAAGGGCTTCCAGAAATTCAGATCGAGGTAAGGATGTCTCTGGAACGGAGGAATGCACAGGCACTTGGCAAATATGGTGGTGGCCGGCAATGCGGTACAGATGAAGTGCGCTGCTTGAGAGGAGGAGAGAGTGAGCTGGAATGAAGGGGGTATGGAGGTGTGAGAATTAGGTGGGTGTGGCTGGGATGGGTACAGTTTTGATGGGGGTCATTGGGCCAGAATTTTCCAGTTAAGAAGGATGGGGGGAGGAAGGTAAAAATGGAAGTGGAGACCCATCCAAGATTTGAGTTGAGGCAGGTGGGTGTCCGATTTTACCATCTTTATAATTGAACTGAGAGAATGCAAATTGGAATGAGAAGGCCTTGAGAATGAGAGTAATTGAAATCTGGGATCCGAGGAATGGTAATAGATTTGTGGGTGTGACCAGGAATAGGACAAAGAATGAGGAGATTCAGTCAGGGGCATCAAGGTGCCTGATTAGACCCTAATTGTGACAGATTTGAAAATTGCTGAGGGGCGAGGGTAGAGACCAAGACTGGCATTTGGTTATGATTTGGGAGTGAGGGCTGTCTTACTCACAGGGCTAATTAAGATTGTATTTACAGCAGTTGAACTGGTGGGACCTGAGAAGTGAGGGTTCTGGAAGCTGATGGAACGAGACTGAGTGAGGGCTAGGATTTTAGGGTGCAGGTGGGAGCGTCTGTGGAGTGAAGGATGCTGGAGCACAAGGGCTCAATGTGAAGGAAACGAAGAGGTACCTTCATCATTTGGACGATGGCTGATCTGGTTTGAAAGAACTTTGAAATAAGGGTGGTTGGGGAAGGGAATGGGGGAATGAAGGACACCAAAGCGTGAGAAGAACTAAATGGTGGGCAGGTAAGGATGGATGAACCCCTTTGAAGCCCCAGAGGTGCCTGTCTGATTTGAATCCAGCCACTGTTGAGTGTAACATATATTAGGGTAAGAACTTCAATGGGTGTTGCTTGGGAATCAGAGTAATATCTTGAAAAAAGCAGATGACTGGGAGTGGGGGTGGCAGGAGTGGAGCGACAGATTCGGGGTTGTCTAGATTGACTGCATAAGAATACAGGGCCTTAGATCAGGGAATGGGGGTGGCAGGCTTGGGAGTTGGAGATTTTGAGATGACAGACTGTCCCTGCTGGTATCTGACATAGGGCCACTGCATTTGCTGTAGTTAGGACTGGGTTAACAGATTCCAGGATGAAATTGGGTTTAGTGATTTGGGAACAAGTCATCAAAACTTGAAGGTGAGAGGAATGGGGATGAGATACAGCCAGTGTGCCTGTGATAACCCAATAGAAGTTAAGAAAATAGATTCAACAGATTTAGGAGCCACGGGGATATGAGAGAACCACACAGATTTAAGGGTGAAATTGGGATCAGTGGGACTCCCAAATTGTAGTGACTAAACTGGGTAAGGCCAGGAAGAGAGCAGTGGCGGTGACTTGGAGTGGAGGTATAAAGGAGTGCCACCTGTATTTAAGAGAACAAAGATCAAGACAAAACTTAGCTCAGAACCTTGGAGCTTTTAACCCAGAAGAGAAAGGTCTAGAAGGGAAGGACTTGCTGCCTGGGTCAGCTGACCCACCCCTTTCCTCCTTTGGCTTCACTGGATCAAAATGTTTTTCTTCTAAAGACAGTCCCCATCATGGAGATTTTCAGTTTACAATCATTAATTTGTTAGGCCTCTCAGAATCACATCCACAGGAGATGGCCTGAGCTTTCAAAAGCACTTGCTTGGTAAAGGCAAAAGGGGACAGGTAGTTGATCCCAAAAAGCGCTGGAAGCATACCTTATCCGGTTTCCGAGGTAGAGCTTTCTAAGCTGCCACCACCTCCCACAGCTGCAGGCCAAAACTACTTCTGCATCTCAGAGGAATCTCTCTGGTCTGTGGGACTGGCTGGTCTGCTTAGAGGGCACAGGGCTGGTATCCTGATCCCTGCCAAGGGAGGAAGGGGCCTTCTCACTCCCCACCTAGGTGCTGCTGTGATACCTTGTCCCCTGCCTGGCAGCAGTGGCTCTCACCCCTTGACAGAGACTTCCTGCTCCTCACGTGGATATGGATGGTCCTTCACCCACCTAAGAGTTTAATAAGTATTTCAGATATGCAAAGCATCTGTACAGCGAGAACTATCAAAGCCATACAGAAATGAGCAGGTCATTTTGTCACAGGGATGTCAGGTGATTGAGATGAGAACGCAGCAGAGGGTATATCTGAGGAACAGCTGGAATTTGAGGAAACAGTTTGCTAAGCCTGGGAATGGGAGGAATAGACATGGAGGTGTCTGCAGTAGATTTGTTAAGAAATTTGAGTTTGGGGTGCACTTTGGAATGGACGACTTAATGACTGATCTGTCTGAAGCTTGCGTATGATGTTTTCTTATTGCCACGTTTGGAATTGAGGTTGGAATGAAGTTTTTCAACTGGAGATGAGAATAATTGAGATTTATTCTGAGCTGGGAGTGGGGTTTGAAGGACATACAAATGGGGTTCTCTGCTGGGAATATCTGGGATTTGAATGTAACGATGTTGGGGTGTGGGTGTGACTTGGATTGTGGTTGGGGTAGTATCTGGGACCAGGCGTTTCTGTTCATTGGGAGATTACATGCTGCCGATGGTTAGAGACACTGATGAGCTTTCTGGCATGTTTTGATGGGGAAAACAGGAACAGGAACCACATTAGAATTTGTGGGAGAAGAGTTAGGCAAAGGGCACAGGAGACTGAGGAGAGGTGGTGAGGCTGAGTCACCAGTAGACTCTGATAGTCCCTTTGTCTTTGTTAACTCTAAAGGTGGGTCATGAGCCGATGCCCCCCACCCTTGGGACCAATGTGCTGGGGAGGAAGGTCCTCTACCTGCCGAGCTTCTTCACCTACGGTGAGTGGTGAGTGTGCCTCCCGAGCAGGAAAACCCAAGTCAACAGAAAAGAGGCCTCAAGTGGGGAGAAGCTACCATGCAGCATGGCACACGGAGTTGAGCTGGCACGGGGAGGGGATCTAAGCGTGGCCAGAGAGGGCATGGTGTCGAGGTGGGAGCAGGTGAACCACACAGTTTTGGTCCAGCTCTTCTGCCTGTAGCTGCCAGCTGCCAGACCAGACAGCAGGAGGGGACCGTCACGGGTGCCTGAGAGAGGGGCCAGTCCAGGACACCAATCCCTGTTATCTCTGCTGCCCTGAACAGGCGTGGGGGTGATTTCCTTTTGCCTTGTGAGCAGGCTGGCCCTGCTACTCCAGGAGGAGGCCTGTGGGGCCCCTCCCGAGTTCTTTTCTTTCATCCCACCTGGGTGTCTTGTTTCCCCTGCGTTCCGCAGGCAGCGTAGTGCTCACTCACTCTGATGTCTCCATCTGTTGGTTACAGAATGGTGTGCAGTGAATTGCAGCTTCACTTCTGTGGGCTGTGTGAGCTTGGGAGGGCCACTTACCTACTCTGGCCCAGCTGCACCCCTTGTCTGCAAAGTAAGGTCAGCTTCTTCTGCCCAGGCCTTCCTGTAAGCTCCCAAGAAGCTTCCTGTCAGTCACCAAGAAGCCCGCCTTGCTGCCTCTGTTGCCGGCCCACAGGTGCCAGCTGGCCAGGGCCTTCTCATGTTCACCCTCACTGTCCCTTTCCCGGTCCCCACCCTCGCCAGACGATCGTGATGAGGGCCTTCTTTAAATGTGCCTTTTCTCTCCGTGTTCACAGCCGGAGTTCCATTCCAGGCGAATCCTCTCGAGTTCCCTGCGCCTCTGCCTGTTTGGTTGTCTAGAATGTTCTCCAGAATCTTTCTTTCTGCTGAGTAACTCAGGGCTTGGCCTCTTGTGTTATCTTTTCCACTTCACATGCTGTTAGCAGAATTGGGGGTCATATTTCTCTTCCAGTTTGTCCCTGTGTTGTTGAGTGCAGAGTCTAGGGCCAGGCGGAATGTGCCATCTTGTGAGGAAATGTGTTTGTGTTGTTTTTTACTTAAAAATTGTGAGCGTAGTGGAGGGGGAATGACAGAGGTAGGAAGGCCCCTGACCACTGCGTAGTGAAGCGGCATACAGAGGTAAGGCAGCCGGGGCGGGGGGCTGCAGCCCTGCATGGGGCTTCCTCTGGATCTGGTTGCACGTGCTGTACTCTGAGAGGCAAGGTTAGAGCCCAGTCATCTCTATTCATGTGACACTGCCATTCCCAAAAGGACTTAGAGCGGAGGGAACTTGACCCCCACCTTACTGCCACTTGTGAGGAAGAGCAGAGTTCTGATGCGTGCCCCAGCCTTGTTTATATAAATGGAGCTTCAGTCTAGGTGTGAGCAGATGTTCATTGGGCATCCAGACACCAGACCTGCTCTGGAGTCAGGGAGGGGCCGCCATCTGGATCTCTGGTACAGTGTGGACAGCGTCTGCTCCTCTACATGTCTTGGCTGAAAGTATCGCAGCTGTCGTGACATTCTCTGGTGGAGAAGAAGGAACTTCCCAGAGGGATTCCGGAACTGCGGAAAGACGGGAATGAGGGAGGCCCTGGCCAGCCCGAGGCCTTGGGCACAGAGGCCCTTGCAGGCATTTCAGCATCCTCCTCTCTCACTTCTTCCTCAGTCCTCTCAGAAATGGGGAGAAATGAAGGTCCTTATTCCTTTGTTTTCACTGGTGGGCGGATCCGATGGAAGAGGGTGGATGTTTTGCTCAGGATCACACACAGAGGTCCTGAGGCTCCCTCTCCTCACCAGGATCTCCTCACCCTCCCCCAAAGCAAGTTTTCCTTCTGCCTGTTCACTCTGAAGTAGGGCTCCTTGCCAAGTCACCCAGCATCCCCTTCCCTCCTCCTCCTCTCTTTCCAGCCCACCCCCATCTCAGGAAATCACATGAACAGGTAACAGGTGTTCTCAGCCTCGTGAAAAACCCATGCTAGCTGTGACGTTGAATTGCTGGGCTGGCAGACATCTGCGGAGGAGCAAAAGGCATATTTGCTTCTTCCTGCCTCTGTGCGGTGCCAGAGAGCTAAAATCATGGGTCTAAAAGGGAGAGCATGCTGTCTGAGCGAATGTCTGCTCACTTCCAGATGCACAGGTGTATAAAAATACCCACCCTTCCATTTAAAACATGTTCAAAATGTTGATAGAAAACAATGAAACGTCATGAAAGGTATCCTTAGAAAGATAGACCCTAATGAAGAAAACACTAACTCACACGGGTAGGGCCTGGCATCCCTCACATTTAAGTTTATTCTGTGGAATTGTTCATTGGTGCTTCTGTTTTAGTTACTTCTCTATCGACTTGTTTTTCCCTTGACTAATAAATGCCAAAGGTGCCAGGTGGTATCCTGGGTATAGCAGGTGGTATCCTGGGTATAGCAGGTGGTATCCTGCGTATAGCACAGTAGCAGGGTGGAGACTGTTTCCTGGGAGCCCTTCCTTTGCCTTTTTCCCTCCTTGAGGCTGCAAACTTCATCATTCCCTGTGGGTACTTTCTCTGTCTTTCCTGTTTTCTTTTCCTCAAGAAAAACTTAATTTTTAACAAACAGAATTGTTTTCTGTGTTGCAGCATTTGAGTTGCTGAGAAAACACAGCTGAGTTTATCAAGTAGAGTTTTTAAAGCAAAAAAAAAAAAAAGCAAGAAAAGGTATGAACCGATAGCAGTTACCTGAAGGACAAACTGAGCCTGGTCTGGGTGTGTGTGACCCAGGAGTGGGTGGCCCTGAACTGGGTGTGACTCCTCTACCGCCTCTGTTTTCTTACAGCCAAGTACATCGTGCAGGTGGATGGTAAGATAGGGCTGTTCCGAGGCCTGAGCCCCCGGCTGATGTCCAACGCCCTCTCCACCGTGACCCGGGGTAGCATGAAGAAGGTGAGCCGGCGCAAAGCCAGGAACAGTGGCCCAAGGTTTCCTCATGCTCCCAGCCACCCCTGCAGCAGCCAGTTACCCTGGTCCTGCCTCCTTCCCACACCACTGGGGGCTTCACTCCAGCCCCGTGGGAGAGCTCCCACGCCGTAGTTCTGCTTTCCCACAGCTGTGACACCAGATAGTAGCTTTCTTTGTCCCTGAGGCTCCAGACCTGGAGGTTGCCTGAGGCGGGCCCAGCCAGCAGACACTGCAGAGGAAATACTTGGAGCTGGTTCCTGCCGCCGAGTCCCTGAATTGTTCCCTGGAAGAGGCGTCGCTGAGCTTTCTTCTTGGCCCCTCTCTGTTTGTTTCAGGTTTTCCCTCCAGATGAGATCGAGCAGGTTTCCAACAAGGATGACATGAAGACTTCCCTGAAGAAAGTTGTGAAGGAGGTGGGTGTGAAGAGTCGGAGAGGGAGAGGCGCATGGAGGGGAGCCTGAAGGTTTCTCACCCCCAAGTTGGGCGGGTCATTGACGAGTCACTGAGCTGAGTTGTGTTCTCATGCATGCATGGGTGGGGTGGTGTGGGAAGGAGCCCTGGCCTGGATGCACGGGGAGCCCCAGAAAGCCTTCTCAGCCATTGTTGGGCCTAGCCTGGGACTGGGCAGCACTCCTGGGTGGGGAGCTGGCAAGTGGGCAACAGGTGGAGCCATCCTTGGCAGACTGACCCCATGTGCAGTCCATGGGACAGGTTTCCCCCTCGTAAGCACTTGTAGCTCCCCTCGAGGGCCAGTTCCAGAGACAGGCCGAGGGTGGCGAGTCTCCACCCCATGCTCTCTTCCAGACCTCCTATGAGATGATGATGCAGTGCGTGTCCCGCATGTTGGCCCACCCCCTGCATGGTAAGCTGCCCACCTTCCCATGAGACTATCTAAGCCGGGGTGGGGGCGTGGGGTGAGGGGTACCCCCTTGTGGACTGGAAATAGACAGTTGTAGACCAGTTGGGAAGTGGTAGTGGGGTGGGGGTATTCTACTGGAACCTACCCCATTGAGGAGAGGTTGGAACTCTTTCCAAAGAGAGGTGGAGCTCTTCCCAGGCAGAAGAAATGGGACCCTGCGGTCATGGCGTGTGCCAGGGAATCCCAGAGACCCTCTTCATCTCCTCTTCTCTCAATAGGCATGTTGTTCAGTGGCCACTCTGCACCCGGCACTGGTGGCTGGAGTGTCATGAGGTTTGGCCCACTATGTCACCTGTGTGTGTTTTCTTTTTCCTCAGTCATCTCAATGCGCTGCATGGTCCAGTTTGTGGGACGGGAGGCCAAGTACAGGTGGGTGACTCTTGGGACTGGCAGAGTGGCCCTGTTACCCTCTCAGAGTCTGCCGGGGCAGGCCGTGCCGGGGTTGGTTGCTGCACCTTTTCTGCCCTAGTCCCGTGTGAGCTCAGCCTGCTGCCTGGCTTCTGAGGAATGCAGCAGTGGCTTTCATAGTCTGTCCAGGGCCATTTTCTCTTCCCCATCTCTTATCAAGGGCAGCCCTAGATGAGCCTAGATGCCTTTGCAGAAGGGTGAGTGGGATTGCAGTCAGTTTGGATTAGGATTTCTGGCACCAGAGCTGATTCTGCCACTTAGGGCTGAGCTGAGGTCCCCTCCTGGACCCCCAAGGTAATGCTCTAATGATTTTTCCAGCTGGTAACTCTTTTTTTCCTCTATGAAGAAGCCACGTACCCCATGGGCTTGGGGCTTATCCCTTCAGTTGTATACCAGACCCTCACCTAGATCTGCACGCAGGCCTGGGCAGGTGCGAGGGCACATGTGTTGACACGAGGCATGTGGCAGAAGGACACACCTGGGCTGCTCTTTCTCTCTAAGACTCTCATTTCCTGGGATCACTGTTTTTGGCAGCTGTCCTGTGAGGCCACGACCCCAGGAAGCTCAGCTGGCATGATGTCTCACTGGGGTCATTAATGGGAAATCGGCCCATTCCCCTAGACTGAAGTATGAGGTTGGTAGTTGGGACCAGGAGGGTGTAATCTCGCTGTTGTGAGTGGTGGGGCTAGGCCTGGCCGGGTTGGGATGACCTGGGACCAGGGCTACCCAGGGCTTTGCCTTCCACTGGCTTCCTCTGTTAGGTTGTCCCTTCCCCCTGGGCTGTGCACAGCCTCCATTCAGGACAAGCCAGTTGATGTGTCCAGCCACAGGTCACCAAAGTTGTTATTGAGCTTCCTTGGCACTTCACACCTAAGACCCCACAGCCTGTCCTCTCATCCCTAACAGGTGCAGTGGCCAGGCGTGAGTCCCTGGCTCCCTGCTGGGGAGTGCCAGGTGTCTCCTAGGCTGGTTCCAGTGTCTCCTGCTGTAGGGCCCTGTATTCCTTCCCTGCCCTCTGGGAAAGTGATTCTCTCTGCTCATCACCCCCTCCTACTCTTACTGTCTTGGGCGGGCCTGCAGGCTCCTCTGCTGGAGGGTTGTTTAAGCAGAGATAAGTGTGAGGGCCAGGTAAGAGCGGCCTGCCACCTCTGCAGCAGTGGCCCATGTCGGGAGACGCATTCCTAAACTCCCGGCTCACAGAAAACGCAGTAGAGCACTGCTAGTGGGCTGCCCCCAGGGGAGGTGGGGCTTCCTCAGTCTCCGTGAACTGTGTCAACTCCTCCTCACCCTGAACAAGCACTCTCTGTGCCTTTCTCTCTGTGCCTTTCTACTTGGTTCCTCCTGGTAATAGTCCTCCCCATCCCCACCAGGACCGGCTGGATCTGAGCAGAGTTGGTAGGCTCAGCCCCACACCAAGGGCTGGGCTTCTGGTAGGTGGCTGCATGACCCGGTGTCTCTGTCTTGCCTTTTTCACAGTGGTGTGCTCAGCTCCATTGGGAAGATTTTCAAAGAGGAAGGGCTCCTGGGATTCTTTGTGTACGTGAGTTTATACACCCCATAACTGGCCATGGGCATGGCTCTACTAACAGGTGTGTCCTCAACCTCTCAGACCACAGCTACTGGCTGGGATGAACCACATAGCCCGGCCCTAGCCTGTGGGCTGCACCGGCTCTCTAGAGCTCCGTAGCGCGTCCAAGCTGCTTAGCCCTTTTCAGGCCGTGGCTCACGTAAAAGTGGAGATGCACTGACCAGCCCTGCTAGCCCTCCTCCTGCGGTGGGTGTGGGGCTGGTCTTCATGAGCTTGGTCACTGCATAGTCCTTGGCCCCACTGCTAAAACATGACTGAAAATCTTGATTGGACGGAGGGTGGAGCTCTGGAAGCTAACAGGCTGACTACAGCCAATGGATTCTGTTTGACATTGCTTTTCTGACAAATTAGTTGTTAACGTTAACATTTCAGATATTTTGCACAGAAGTCCACATTTCTGGCGTCTCTTGAAAAGTCAGAAAATCTTATCCTGCTGGGTGGTTCTTTCTGTAGAGCAGCCATCGGGTGGAGCCCAGGACCTGCTCCTTTGGCAGGGCACCTGGGACACCCTGCACTTCACTTCCAGCTTACTTCACCTCTAAGGAAAGCACATACTGAAAAGACTATGATCAGAAAGAATAAAGCACAGACAGAACCCAGAAGCCAGGCTTGATGAGTTGTTTTTTGATTTGCCTTTTTAAGGTCTAGGCAGTAATGTACATGGTGATAGGTACATGACAAATACTAGATACTAGGCTCCATATTATTAAAAAGAAGTCTTTTATATCATGGTTTTCCAGTTTGCCAGATGTTTTTAATTTATGGCCCCTCATTTAACCAAGAAATGACTGTTTGTAGGTGTGTCTGCATGTATGCGTATATAATACGTAAATATACGGTTCTCAGGAGGTGAATTTGCTCCTGAGGGAACACTGGCAGTGTCTGTAGACATCTTTTGTTTGTCACAACTGGCATCTAGTGGGTAGAGGCCAGAGATGCCACCAAACATCCTACGGTACACAGGACAGCCCCGCGACAAAGGCTTATTCATTCAGCCAGGCGTCATGGCCTGCATCTGTGATCCCACTTACTCAGGATTCGTGTCAGTGGTTTCTGCAGCTGTCAGGAGGCTGAGGCAGGGGATTAGTTGAGGCCAGGAGTTGAAGACCAGCCTGAGCAGCATAGTGAGACTTCTGTCTCTACAAAAATGTTTTAAAAAATTAGCTGGGTGTGGTAGCACGCACCTGTAGTCCTAGCTCCCCAGGAGGCTGAGGTGGGAGGATGGCTTGAGCCCAGGAGGGTGCAGTGAGTGATGATTGCACCCCAGCACTCCAGCCTGGGTGACAGACTGACACCCTGTCTCTTGGGGGAAGAAAAAAAAAATTCTTCAGCCCGAAATGTCAGTAGTGCCAAGGTTGCTCAACTCTGATTTATATTCATACACACACACATATGTACGTATAAGTATTTATGCACACATATATTTGCACATGTACCTGGTAACAAACCAACGTTTGTTACATGCCTGTCAGCATGGATGTCACTGCCTAGACCTTAAGGCAAATCAAAAATCAACTCAGCGTGGCTTCTGGGTTCTGTCTGTGCTTTATTCTTTCTGAACATAGTCTTTTCAGTATGCGCTCTCTTTATAGGTGAAGTAAGTTGGATGTGAGGTGACAAAGTGCAGAGCGTCTGGAGCCCTGGGAGACCCATGTACCCTGTCAAAGGAGTAGCCACTGGGCTCCGGCTGATGGCTGCCCTATAGAAACGGCCACCCATCTTAAAACACTGCACATCACCACCTCTGGCATTTCTCACACCATGTAGTTCTCTTCTGGTGTGTGAATGGGATTCCCACATAACAGATGCCTACTCTTTGGGTTCTTTTTCTCCATGTGATTTTGGGACAGGTGATACGCATACCTGTTACAGTGAATAGAAAGCACCAAAGGTTATATATCGCATGTAGTCAATCTGAGCACAGGCAGGGATGACAGGATTAGAAATTGCATTCACAGAGGTTCATTTTATTAATATTCCTCATAGATGTATTACATATATTCTTCTGAGTTTTTCAAATATTTTATAGTAAGATTTTTTATTTTAAATTCAAAAACCATAATTCTGCTTCTCCTCCCAGGAGACAGCCATCCGTCTCCTGGGGAATCCTCCCGGGCACTCCCCGTACCTAAACAAGCAAACACATTTAGAAACACAAGAGGCATGTGGGACCCACTGACCTCAAACTGGCCCTTTGACCTCAGCGCTGCATCTTGGGAACCTTCCTTAGCCGTTTGTGGAGTTGTTAATCCTATAAAGGCCATCATTTAAAAAGTTAGCCCTCCTTGTAAATGCTTACATATAATCTTTTTGATAGAATATTTTCAGTGTTGAAGAGAACAGATACATTGAGCAGTGTGTTTTCTGAGAGTTGGTTAGGTAAAGAGGCCAGGAGAAAATTATGACACGTAGGCACTCTTATTAACTGCATTTGAAAATTCCAGATTTGGCAGTATTCACATCTAAAACTGCTTGAGACCCTTAACTAATTTTTGGCATCCAGAGCAGCATATAACACCTCCCCATGGGAAAAGGAGCACTACCTTCCCAGTGTGCATAACTGCTGGCCCCTGCAGGCTTCTTTTCTGAGGCTATGCCATTGGATATGCTAAGATTTTGAGCCTGGAACATCCCTGCCTGTTTCCTGGGTGTGGAGCCCCCAGGAACTGTTCCTCTCCCTCTCCTGCTCATCTCTGCTTACCTTGTTTTTTAGTGGATTAATCCCTCACCTCCTGGGCGATGTGGTTTTCTTGTGGGGCTGTAACCTGCTGGCCCACTTCATCAATGCCTACCTGGTGGATGACAGCGTGAGTGACACCCCAGGGGGGCTGGGAAACGACCAGAATCCAGGTTCCCAGGTTGGTTGGAACAAGGACTTGTCCTTCTTTCCGTGTACTGCTGATGCCCAGGGTCTGGGGCAAACTCGAGGATTCTGGGATTCTGAGCATCAGGCCCGGAGGGTGAGAGAGGACCTCTCATTGCCCCTGGAGTCAGCTTTGTCTAAGGGGAGAATGGCCTGGAGAGGCAAGATTCCAGATTATTATCCAGACCTGGGAGGAATTAACGAAATGCTTATCCCTGGGAAGCCTTAAAAGCAGACCCCAGCTTATTATCTAAGGCTTCTCTGAGGCAGTGACCCAACTAGGGCTTAGGAAGCCAGGAGATAGACCAGCCAATAGTGATCACCCTTTGACCTTTGCGTCATGTCTTTTGCTTTTCAAAACCCTTTTGTGAACACTATGGCCTTTGATCTGACGGCGTCCTAGTTGTGAAGAGAACAGGGCAGGCATAATGTTCCGTTTACCAATACAGAAATTGAGACCCAGAGATCACAAATTCTGGAGAGACTCTGGGCTCTCAACAGTCACTCAGCTGGAACTAACAGGGCTGGAATTAGGTCCCTGGCCAGGCCAAGGGTAGGCTGTGTTCCTCTGAGTTTTTTCAGATCTGCTAGGAGGTATGCAGTCCAGGCTCACCCTCCTATTTTGTGAGCTGTGGTCTACACAGCCTAGTACACAGAGACCTCTCAGCCTGTCAGGTCAAGCATAGGAAGGTCTGGTCCATCTACACGGCACTTGTTGAAGAAGGCCGTCCAGGTGCCTGAGGGGTTGACCGGTTCTGCCTGAACCAAGATAAGAGGTAGGGAGCAGCAGTGGCTGGGGATTGTGGTATCCAGACATTCTCACAGTGGGTATTGCCACACCCAGGAGGCTAGGGGAGGGCCTGGGGACCTGTCTGCCAGAATCACTTGGGCGGGAAGTGGGTCATGTTCCGTGTGTGTGTGTCTGGCACATGTTGTTCTGTGTGGTGAGGAGTTCCCATCCCAGATGGGAGCCTCTGCTTGCAGGGAGACTGGTTACTTGACCTGGGCAGGTGAGTCTTAACTGGCCTTTCAATGTCAGCCAATTTAAAGTGGCTCCATAGAGACCCACCTCATCTGCAATCGCAGTGGCACATTCCTGCAGTTCTGCCCCTTTTCTGGGGCCTTGTGGGTGGATGAGCTGCTGCTGTCACATACAGAGCCAGGGTGTCAGGGGACAGGGATTACACAGCTCAGTGGTTCCTGGTCTAGGTGGGCAGCTGTCTGACCAGAGGCAGCTGTGCTTACGTTAGCAACAACAGCGGTCAACAGATTGTTGAAAGTGTTTTTTGAGTGCTTTTCTGTGTGCGGCTTAAAGGCCAAGATGAGGCCGCGGGGCTTGTCAAAGCCACTCAGGCAAACATCTGAGCAAATCTCTGCCAAGGCCCCAGGGCATCAGTCTGGTGGGATGGCCGCTCCACAAGAAGCTGAGGGTGAGGAGTCTCCTTTCCTCACTAGGAGCTGCTTGCTTCAGCAAAGCAGAATTTGAGGAGTTGGGGTCTGAAGTGGGAAAAGCTTGCTGAGGTGGAGGTGGCAGTAAGCCTGGAGTTGCCCTCGCCTCACCCCATGGGCCAGGATTCATCTCTGGGTGTCAGGGTGCATGTCTGTCTTAGCACCGTGTGCCAAGCCCTGGGTATTGATCAGGCAGGCCCAGGCTTAGCCCTGAGGCTCACAGTCCAGTGGGGTTGCACCGGTAGTGGCAGCGGATCCACTTACCTAGTCTCCTTCTCGGGACTCCCTTCAGTCCACTTACCCCGCTTCTGCCCCCGAGTCCGGACAGGAACGGTGGCGTGTGCGGCGTGCTTGTGAGGAGCTGAGCGCAGAGGGTGGGGTGAAGGCATGTGAGCTGCAGCCTGCGTCCTGAGGTGCCTGTGGCAAACTGCTCTTCCTTTCTGTCTCCTCAGTTCAGCCAGGCCCTGGCTATCCGGAGCTATACCAAGTTCGTGATGGGGGTAAGTCGAGCCAGCTGCCCTTCCTTCCCACTGCCTTGCAGACCCAAGTAGGGCCTAGGAAGCCAACCCTGGTAATGACTAGAGGCAGGTCTTGGTACAGGGTGTTAGCGTGGCATGTCCCTGCTTCCCGGGCCAGGATGGGCCACTGGCACTAAGGCCTCTCTGCGTTTCAGATCGCAGTGAGCATGCTGACCTACCCCTTCCTGCTAGTCGGCGACCTCATGGCTGTGAACAACTGCGGGTAGGTGTGCGCCCCCCTACTTGCCGCTTTACCAAGGCTGTGGGGAGGGGGGGACCTTCCAGCACTGCCCCTCCCACCTGTGTGTAGGCTCGGCCTGCCAGGCACCCTGGCTTCCGCTGGCACTTCCCAGCACCCTGTGGGATGAACTGTGGTGTCAGGGTGCGGACGGGTGGCAGCTTGAAGTCGTTCCTTCTCGAAGCACCTTCCCTGTGGTTGGCTGTTTTCCCACTGTTCTCTGCATCTACACTCTCCTTCCCGGGCAGGCTGCAGGCTGGGCTCCCACCTTACTCCCCGGTGTTCAAATCCTGGATTCACTGCTGGAAGTACCTGAGTGTGCAGGTGAGCAAGCACTGGATGGAGGAGGCCTTTCCTGTTCTTTGCCACATCCTTCAGCTGAAATGATTTTGTGGATGCTTCATGGCATGGAAAGATGTGGTTTCATGGAATCTAATGCTGTGAGGAGACACTTGGTATATATAAGGCATTTAAATTAAATTTGCATCTTACCTAATTTCAGAAAGGATTTGAGGTTAGCCAAGTGTGGATTTATTTTAAGATTATACATCAGATAAGACCTTTTCTTCTTTGAGTCTTCAAGACTCTTAGGGTAAGAATAAGGGAAATCTGGCCCAGGTCGCAGGTGGGAAAGCCCAGGAACTGCTTATCCGTCAAGTAACATGGGTGGAAAATTCGAGGTCTGTGACCAGTTCAGCTGAGTTCAACTGAGTCTGCATTGGAGACCGACTCCTCCCTCCTACAGGACATTCCTGGGCCCAGGAGAGCCTGTGGGTGGAGCTGGGCCACATGGGGACCTGGCAGCAGTACCAGCCTTGGGTTCTTATGTTCTGTGCTGAAGGTACCTCTCCCTGACTCTTGGGCCCAGCAGTCAGGGGTCCAGGCTCTGGCCAAGGGCAGAACCTTTCCTTTTCCTGGCCTTGGTTTGCCTCGCTGTGAAATGGGGCAATAGCCTGGAGGGAGCCGAGTGCTGACTGGCCTCAAGGCTGAGAAGAGGAAGATGGGAGGGAAGCAGGGAGGAGAGCCACAGTTCTTCCCAGTGACCCTGGTCAGTGTAAGTGTGTTGCATCCTCCCCATGGGCATTGAAAGAGACCAGTTGGGCTCTGAAGCAAGGGGGGCAATGAACCTCCTCTGTAGGGCTCTCCTACTGAGTAGCCCCAAAGACACCCCTGGGCAGGAAATGAGCCACTCCCTCCTGCTTCAGCACAGGTAGATTCTGCCCTCCAGGGATACAGGCCCAGGCCCTCCACCCCCGAGCCTGGGTCCTCGAGCTCCTGGACCCTTCTTTGCCTGACACTGGCCTTCCTCTAGGAGGGATGAGGAACCGTGGCCTCCCCACTCACCCTACTTTTCCTTCTGGTCCAGGGCCAGCTCTTCCGAGGCTCCAGCCTGCTTTTCCGCCGGGTGTCATCAGGATCATGCTTTGCCCTGGAGTAACCTGAATCATCTAAAAAACACGGTCTCAACCTGGCCACGGTGGGTGAGGCCTGACCATCTTAGGACACCTGCAAGACGACTCCAACCCAGCAACAACCAGATGTGCTCCAGCCCAGCCGGGCTTCAGTTTCCATATTTGCCATGTGTCTGTCCAGATGTGGGGTTGGGCGGGGGTGGGGCTGCACCCAGTGGATTGGGTCACCTGCCAGACCTGGGGAAGGTGGGGTGAGGTGGGGAGTTGGCAGACTCCCCATATCTCCCAGATTTGCTGAGTCTGTCTAATGCAGAGGGCCAGAGAATGGCTTGTGGGGGCCCAGGTTGGATGGGGAAAGGCTAATGGGGTCAGACCCCACCCCGTCTACCCCTCCAGTCAGCCCAGCGCCCATCCTGCAGCTCAGCTGGGAGCATCATTCTGCTGCTTTGTAAATAGGGCGGATCCCCTGGCACATGGCCACCATCATGTCTAGGCCTATGCTAGGACGCAAATGCCAGGCTCTGCCTGCGTTTTTCTCAACACTAATGATATGAGGGCAGCACCTGCCTCTGAATGGGAAATCATGTGACTACTCAGAATGTGTCCTCCTCATCCAATGCTCATCTGTTGAATGGTGATGCCTCGCGCGCAGGATCTGGTTACCTGTGCAGTTGTGAATACCCAGAGGTTGGGCAGATCAGTGTATCTAGTCCTTTCCAGTTTTAAAGTTCATAGTAAGATCTGACCCCATCTCCCACAAATAAATGTATTGGTGGTGATTTGGAGTTTTGTGGGGAGTCTCTTATTTTTGTAAGCTTAAAAATCTACCTGTAGAGTCTGAGTCCTTCCTATTGGTGGGAGAAGGGGCTGTAAAGAGGCGGGGCAGGGGGCTGCCATGTTGGAGATGTAGGTGCCAGAGCTTATAGCTCAGTCTCCGGGGAGACACTGGGTGATGAGGCTGGGGTGCCCGTTTCCACAGCAGCAACCAGTGCGCAGGTCTGTTGCCTGAGACGGGCCTTTTGGAAAGTGTTCCACGTACACCCCTGACTGTCACATGTTAGGATGACATATCTTCAAGTTTTACAGAGAGTCGCTTGGTGCGGTGGCCATAGTTAATGTCAGAACAGGCAGACCTCCCTTCCAATAAATGGTTTTTGCCCAGCACTGGGGTCTATAAGCAGACAAAGCTTACAAATGTTTTGAGGCCCAGCTGGGTTCCCCCAAGTGTTTGCCCTTGCTTGAGGTGACCTGGCTTATGAGAGTTGAGGTCTGGTGTCTTTGGTCATATTTCCCTCAGGGGCCGAGTCCCTGCCGCCAAAGGGAAGGCCCCTAGGCTGCTCATGCACAACTGGGTGTTTCCAGTAGCCTAGTAACAATGGACTCGGGCAGTTTCATGTCACAGGTTTCCCAGGAACGCAGAAGTGTGCCTGTGTGGGTGTTATGTAAATGTACACTGGTTGAGGCCACTAAGGTCTCCTAACTTTGTCACCCATATTAACTTTCCTAGGGAGACACCCCAGAGGGCTAGGGTAGTGGGAAGAGCACATGCTGGGGTGGGCAGGGCAGGCCTGTAGAGAAGGGGGCCTCGGGTTCCCAGGCCCTTCAGGGGGGAGTCTGCCCTGTGGCCTCTCTCCAGCCCGGTGTGTTTTCCCACAGCACTGACCATTGTTCTGGGGTATCTTTTCTTGCTGTTGCTCCACGCTCAGATCCTGTTTTTGCATAGATTAGTTCCTAAGTCTCCCCCACCCCGCCGAGACAGGGGCACGTGTATCTCTGGAGGCTGAGCTAAGCTGGACCTGAAGAGCTCCTCGCAGTTCAGAGGCTGCCTGGAGAACAGAGCAAGGCTTCGGTGGCCTTGCCTTTGCCCAGTCACCTCGGGGAGGGCTGCTGCTGTCCCCCAAGAATTGGGGGGTTTCAACTTCATTTCCCAAGCCATCTTCCACATCCAGAAATGGCATGAAAATCTCCTTTGGTACTGCATCCCAGTTATTGGTTGAGTAAAGCACAGGGTTTTAATCTAATAAAACAGGAAGTTTTGAGTTGTTCATTCAAATTCTTGTATTGGTGTGTGTGTGTGAAATGCTCTGTTTCCTGGACCCTTTGATCTCTGGGAGCTGAGACCCTGTCCATCTGCCCTCCTAGCATTTGACATGTTTCCTGCTGACTAGTCTTGGAAACTAGGATGCTGGGTCCTCATCTCAGAAAGGAGATTGGGTGGGATTGGGCAGGAGAGCTGAGCTGTCGGCAAAGGAGGGTGACAGGAGGAGTGTCCTGTAGAGAGCCGATCACCTCCCCTCCTGGGAAACCATCTGATGGGCAAAGCTGAAGGGGCCTCTGACAGGCTTTTGGGGACCTCCTTATATATTTTGGGTATATATATATTGGGTATTTACCCAAGATAATTGGAAACTTAGGTTCACATAAAAACTGGTACATGAATGTTTACGGTAGCATTATTCATAGTAGCTCAGGAGTGGAAACAGCCTGAATGTCCAATGACAAATAAAATGGAAATGTTCTATAGAATGTAACAAATATTCCATAGAATGGAATATTGGCAATAAAAATGAATGAAGTTCTGATTCGTGCTATGACACAGATGAACCTTGAAAATATGTTGGCCGAGGGCAGTGACTCACACCCATAATCTCAGTCCTTTGGGAGGATTGCTTGAAGCCAGGAGTTCAAGACCAGTCTGGGCAACATAGTGAGATCCTGTCTCTACAAAAAATGTAAAAAATTGGCTGGACATGGTGGCATGTACCTGTAGTCCCAGCTGCTCAGGAGGCTGAGGTGGGAGAATCGCTTGAGCCCAGGAGTTGGAGACTGCAATGAGCTGTAACCCTGGGTGTCAAAGCAAGACCCTGTCTAAAATTATATATATTTATATGCTAAGTGGAAGAAGCAGTCACAAAAGACCACAACATACATGTCAAAAATTTATGGGGGCTGTTAGAAGAGACAAATCCATGTAGATAGAAAATAGATTGGTGGTTGACTGAGGCTGGAGAGGTTGGAGGGAAATAGGGAGTGACTGGTAATGAGTATGGGGTTTCTTGTTGGGGTGAAAATGTTCTAAAATTGTGATGGTTACACAACCTTGTGAATATAGTAAAAATCATTGAGTTGCATACTTTAAATGGGTGAGTGTTATGTTATATCTGAAGAGAGCTAGAAAAAACACATATAAAGAAAGTAGGCCGGGCACAGTGGCACATGCCTATGAGCCTAGCACTTTGGGAGGCTGAGGCAGGTGGATCACCTGAGGTCAGGAGTTCAGCTATTGGCCAAACCCTGTCTCTACTAAAAATACAAAAAGTACTCGGGCGTGGTGACGGGGACCTACAATCCCAGCTTCTCGGGAGGCTGAGGCAGGACAATCGCTTGAACCCCAGGGGCGGAGTTTGCGGTGATCACACCAGTTCACTCCAGCCTGGGCAAAAGAATGAAACTTCATCTCAAAAAAAGAAAGTAAAAGAAGGACATGCCCTCCTTGGTTACAGGTCGGCTCCCAGCCCTGGCCTGACTTGGGTGGTGTCCTGTTTAACTGGGCACCCTCCAACATTGGCCTGGAGACTGTTGCTCTGCCCCTTCCGACCACCCAAGCCACCCTCAGTCACCCACCACTGCTACCCCAACATACATGTGCTTTTCTGGTCCCCAGCACCTCTGGACAGTCCTGCTGTGCTCCCCTGGGGAGGGTTTGGGACTCCAGGTCCCTTTCTTAGGACTATTCCAAGCACCTGGAGCTGGCAGAGCCTTGCCTGACATGCATTTCTGACCTTGGCCCCAGACAGGCCTGGGCAGCAGCGCTCCCATGAAGAGGCCGCGTGCCATGCTTTGATCCTGGGCTCCAAATCTGCCTAGGCCCGGCTGGTGACTCCTGAAGCTGGGAGAGGCAGCCCAGTGCCCTTGGCCTTCCTTTGTCTCTTCCCCTTCCTGCCGGCCACCTGTGATTAGGGGGAATGGAGAGTTATGGGAAGGAAGGAAGGGTGCATCCCAAAGAGGAGACACTAAATGGAGTGTTTTAGAGGAGGGGGATGTGAAAGAGAAGGAACAGCTGTCACAGGTTGGACAGGCTTTTATTGGGGAGTCAGGGGTTGCTTTCTTTCCCTTGTCCCTGCTTCCCTCCCCCGCAGAACCCCACTCCAGTGGGGCTTGTCCTTCATCTGCCACTTGCAATCCCCATCCCCAGCTGTGCAGGCACTCAGGGAAAGCATACTGTGTGGGCAGACAGCCCCAGGCCAGGCAGGCAGTGAGCTCCCCCAAATACTCCCACCCCCAGAACTCAGGTGGGAGGGGCAGGAGAGGTCTGGGCCTGGTGTGCAGTCATCAGGCAACCTGGAGCTTGCAGCCAGCCAGGCCTTGGGCCTCCAGGATGGTGTGATGAGGCATGTGCCCCGTAGCCTTTCCCTTCCAGAGGACCTTAACAAAGACGCATCTTGTTTAGGGGCTGAGGACAGGGTGGGGAAGATGACAGGAGGACAGCTGACCTCTTCACCCTAAGAAGGCAAGAGGCACTTCTGGGGAACAGTCCTGGACTCAGATGGTTCAAGGAAGAGGCCAGGGGACTGGGAGGGTCCCAGGAGTTCCTGGGAAGCCCGAGATCCTCTGTCTGGGAGAGAAAGCTGATGGCCACAGGACAACCTGAGAGTGGGCACATGTTAATACTGCCCAGAACAGTCTGCAGCTGGCTGAGGGATGGGCCTACCCAGAGCCGAGGCACTCCTGGAGCAGTGCCAGAGGCTGGCCCTGTAGACACCTCCCAGGAGGACAAGGGTGCTGGCCTGGAATCTGGCCAGAATTTGGGGTCAAGGGGGACTGCTGGGCCACAGAGCATGACCTGCCCAGGAAGCTGTGACCTCTCACTTGGAGAAAGATAATCCAGGTGGGCATGAGGCTAGGGCCCCCTGCACCAGGCCTTGCCTTTCAGTGGTATCCCCTTCAGAAGATTCCAGCCAACACCAGGGGAGGGAGAAGCAGTAGTCCCAGGAGAGGGCCCCACACATGACCAGGGCACGAGTTCAGCCCTGACACGATGCCAGGTTTGTCAGGGACCTCTGCACCTGAGGGAAGAGAGAGGCTTTGCCTCAGCCTAGAGATGGCTGTGCCTGACATTCCGCCCACGCCACCATGCAAGTTGGGGGCGGGCAGCAGCCAGGGAGGAAGCTCCTACTTAGAGGGCGCATGCCCCACCATGCTCAAACCACCTAAGCTGGGGCAGGATGCTGACATTCCAGAGCCAGGGAGGAAGTAGGACATGCTACGGGCCTTACCTGGCAAGAATGACTGCAGGGCCAGGGTACGCCCACCCGTGGCATTAGTGGTGGCAGAGGTATTGGGGAAATTGGGCAGGGACTTGGAGGAGGTGTGCCCCATGTGGTCCAGTGTGGCCTGCAGCTCACCTGGCTTGTCCTGGGCTGGAAAAACTGAGGCCAAGACCTCACTGGAAGGAGGCAACTCAGCCTCAGTCTCACCTTCAGCCTCAGCCTCAGCCTCAGCCTCAGCCTCCTCCTGGGCATGGGGCACGAGCTCCCTTGTCCCTGTCAGGAACATCTTGGGGTCCAGAGAGTTCTCTGGGCTCTTGGAGGGCACTTTTGTTTTGTCTGTCACTTTGTCTGCTGATTTTGGGATAGGAACATGGGTCGATGTGGGGAAGGTAACTGGCACCTCATCCAAAGAGGGCAGGCTGTGAGCTGCCAAAATGGAAGGGACCTCAGTTGTTACAGGAGGTGGAGCCTCTGTTGCCATGGAGGGAGGGTCTTTCGTTGCTAAGGAAGTTGGGGCCTGGGTTTCCACAGCAGGCAGAGCCTTGGTTGCCAGGGAGCCCGAGATCTCTGTTACCAAGAAAGCCGGAATCCCCGTTGCTAGGGAAGAAGAAGTACCCATTTTCCTAGAGTCTGAGGCTTCAGTTGCCAGGGAGGATGGGGCCTCAGTTACCAGGGAAGGCAAATCCTGATCATCTTCCGGGCTTCCGATGGGTTCTGATAAGACAGACGAGAATTGGCATGAGTGCTGCATGCGGGACCCCACATCTCTCACCCCACCGCAACCCAAGTGAGGCGACCAAATGTCCTACCAGGACACAACACACACACACCTCTCCGGCGGATATGTCCCTTACTGAAAATAAACGTTACTTCTGGTGATTGACACAGTTGCTCCTCCATCCACCTCCTGGTCCAAGTCTCCCTGCACCCGCACGTGCCCTTTTTCAGGGGACTTCTCCAGCAGGATCCTGGCCCCTCACAGACCGCCCCCCCCCCCCCCTCCCCCCCCAGGCTGGCCCCGCCCGTTTGAAGCTCTCTGACCACGCCCACCGTCCTGGCCCCGCCCACGCCTCGAGACCCTAACGTGTGGCCACTCCCACCTCGCCCGGGCCCCCGGAAGCCTCCAGACTTTCTAACATCTTCCGTTTGAAGCGTTGGAATCCGGTCACTTGGAACGACAGGGCGCCGAAGTGGCTGCTCCGGGAGGGCTAAGGGAGCCGCCAGAGGCCCCTGGCGTTTGCATCCCGCCCGGCCCCTCACCTGCGCACTCACCGCTCAGTCCAGGGAGGCTCTTAGACCATCCAGTCTGCATCGCATCCCTTCCACACCCCCTGCCCCTGTCTATATCCACCCGTGGACTCACCACAGAGGGAGTTCTTGCAGCGGTAGCCAGAGGGACACTGGGAGCACGGAGTTCCCTCCTGGTAGGGCCGTTTCCCCTTCACGTTCCCCCTACAGGTCAGGAGGATGCTGCGGGGATGGGTCGATCCCCTCCCAACCCTCTCCCCAGCTCCTATGCACACACCTAGTCTGGAAGTGCCCTTGGGTCTCCTGACTGCCAGCCACTGACTTGCTGGGCGACCTTGGGCTCCTCGTGGCCCTTGGCCAATGAGAGCAGACGCCCATCGGAGCCTTCACAGCTCCTTGGACGTATAGCTCCAGACTGAACCCTCTCCTCCCGCTCCTTCAGGCTGTGGCCAACTCTGCCCTCCCCTTGGCTCTGCCCCTTCCTTCC